ATGCAAAAACGATCATTGGATGGTGCTATTAACTGCCTGTTTTCAGTCCGTTAAAAGATGCCACTTTTAGAAATTAAAACGATCCCATGTATGCGTAAAAGTGATGAAGAGTCAATGAAAATTCATTTTCTTCCATCATCTCAAAGCGTCGACTCTAGTTCTATTTAAAAATTTCACCTATCGGCGATATGCTTTCAGAATACAAGCGAAAAAATTTCCAAACGCAAACTATCAAAAAACACACAATGCATTTTGTACGGATCGAGATTCGAAAACATGAACTTAGTTTTACTGTTTAATGCTCTGTATCTATATTCTGTATAACTACTGAAATGTGATACAGTTGACTCAGTATTGGAAATTCAAAGTCTTCGCGTCCTCAGAAATAGGTTTGTGGTATGAAGTTTAGATTGATCAACAAGTTCGTTCTTTAAGCGTTATTTTAGAGCAATCGAATGGAAAAGGGGAAGAACCGCAAATGGAATAATTGATCCAGCTTGTTACCCTTTCTCACAGAGCTGTATCGGGTGAGATGAGAATTATATAGCTCTGATATAGTGGAGAAAGAAAAATTAGTGATCGTTACAATTTTGTAAATGGCTATTTTTTGTATAATGTGTTAGTCTATCAAGAATTTCAATATCTATTTGTTCTTTTCATCTGATAATTTAGCGGAGAAGAAGTTAAATATAAACATTGAGTGTAGTTCTTTCTTCCCAAATATGTAATCTCATGCATCAGCCGAGAATCAGCCGAGTTCCTCTGTTTCAGTTAGAAGAAGTCATGAAAGTTTTTCTGTTTGAATCTCAATGTATGAGAAGAACCATTCATTTATTGTATAGTGTGCCTTATAGATAGTCTCAGTCATGGTTATCAATGTTGCTTATGTTTTTCAGGCGTCCGGTCCTTGCTATTCACCGTGTTCTTGGTTCATATGCAATCATTTTCATTTGGTTTTGAGGTGGTAATAATACCAAATGAAGATCTTAACTATCTTAATGAGCGACTACAGACGAGCGAACGTATGAATCGTTATGATGCCTTTAATGCAATTTGTGAGCTAGAAAACTTTTATACGGGAATGAAAAACGGTTTGGTCGGTTCACCCTCGGAAATGGTTGATAAAGCTTGGCACGCACATATATTAAACACGCGAATGTATTTCAAATTTTCTGAAGCTATGTTTGGCACTTATCTTCATCATGTACCCTTTTGGTCTGATAATATCGAAGAACAGATGGCTTATTCAGATTCTGAAGTACCAATGTATGTCAAATTGAAAGAATTAGGTATACAGGACTTGAACGAAACTGTATGGACATATATAACAAACGAACACATAGTGGAAAGTGAGAGAATCAAACTGCCGATTCGTGATGACAGCGTTACAAAAGAAAAGGTTGATTTGTGACTTGTAGAAAACTTTTTTATCTACTCTAAAAAACATTTCACGTTGTACTAATCCGGTTATACTGTTAATTTTATTTTTCACGCAAAAAGATCTCTAGCTATATATGTCAGTACATAGTTGTCTCACAAGCTGAATAACAAAGGATTTAGATCGTTAGAAACGAGAACAAAAGCACATAGTCATCATATCAGTAGTTTTACTGTTAATAACTGACGCGAGAAGTTTTGAAAATATTTAGAAAGAAAACGACAACAGAAATACGTGTCTATCTGAGACGTAAATGTACGAAGGTAGTGTCTCAACTTGCCTTTTGTTTCTACTGCTGAAAAAACGAAAGATTTCGTCTTCTACCATCCATTTCAGAATACAAGAGCAGTGGCTATTTTTTGAATAACTTTTAATAGAAAGAAGCTAGAAAGCTTCGGTTTTTACCATGCAAAAGAGAAGACTTGGAGACATGTTTCCACAAGCAGAATTATTTTCACAAGAGTTTTCTGAAACAGGCTGTTTAAGAGATCTTTGGAAACCAGATCGTGTGTAAAAATTTTTCAATAGGATAATGTTGATCTTTTTTATGGCCTGCTATTCCGGGATGTGCTCGTGAAAGTGGGAGTCAAGCGAGACCTAGATTTTCTACAGCTCTGACGTTGTACCGGATTTCCTACGAGTCCCAGGACTGGCACCTGGTGACTCTTTGTAGCCTTGAAAACCAATGGACTATAGATAATCGATCATGCTGAGTCTCGTGGAAATATTTGCTTTTAGAAAAAGTTTAAAAATCTACTGAAAAGAGGAGTTTTAC